TTTGTAAATCAGATTTTATGTGAAAAAGTGTAACTTACACACATTCCACCCCATAATGTTAGTAACTGCAGAATTACAGCCCCCAAAGGGTCCTGAAAATCCCTACAGGTGGTTCCCCTGAAGATACGTAAGCCACTGTGATGTGTTGGCTTAAAAATGTCCTCAAGATGGGCCTGAGCTGGAGCCCGCAGGAAGGGTGTGAGAAACCAAACACGCTGTCAGTGTCCCTGTAGAAACCCCGATGCGCCCTCACATGGAGGACCAGGTATGCTTTTGGTCCTCCCACCACATGGCTATAGGACAGTGGTTCTCAACCTTCCTCACGCCGCGACCCTTTCATAAAGTTCCTCAGGTTGTGGTGACCCCCAATTTCATTGTTACAAATTGAACATAATTAAAGCATAGTGATTAATCACAAAAACAATATGTAATTATATATGTGTTTTCCCATGGTCTTAGGTGACCCCTGTGAAAGGGTCGTTCGATCCCCAAAGGGGTCGGGACCCACAGGTTGAGAACCGCTGCTCTAGGGGCTTCTCCGATGGGGCAGAACTGGACAGAGTAACCCTTGAATCATTTCCTGAAAGTGACTGCAGTAAATTCCTCCTCTCCCCATGGAAGTGGGAATACATTTTATAAAAGTGTGTTTAGTTTAATTTGCACATCCTTTCATGGACAGGCCAAGTTCTTTAAGGGCATTTATTCTGCTTCATATAAATAATTGATCAGCCAAGTTAATTGACTTCTGCCTGACTCGGTCACCCTTAATTAACTGCCCTGGAATCAAGACTGAACTTTCTGTGAGCGGAACCCTTCACAGGCAGGAGAGCACGGGCTCTGTTTTCCCTAAGTCTTCAGCATCGACACTGTCACCAAGGAAATAATCTTCATCAAGCAGTGCTTTAATTTGCTATAAATACATTGGCTGGCATTATGAACTTTCCAGAATGCTTCCAGAGAGCAGCTCTGTTGGCACGGACAATAAGTGAGCCCGCGCCCAGCCGCAGCGCGCTCTGCGAGGCCTCAGCCAGGCGCCCATCTTGTGAAATCAGAAGCTCGGTGACCTGTCCCAGCAGAGAAGCGGCTCCGAGCTCCCTGACGCCATGCGATCCCCGCCTCAGCCTTGTCAGTGATTCCATCCGGTCCATTCGATTCGATCACAATGCGGCCTCTGTCCTGGGTGGGTCCCGTGACCACAGGCGGCCTCCCGCAGAGGGCGGACAGGCGCGGGGGAGGGCGGGCTTTGCTTCTGGAGAAAGGACCTGCTCATGGGTCTGTGGCCGCCTTGCCCACCGGACGCCACGTCTTCACAGCCAGGCCCGTGGATGGCTGTCACCCTTCTCGTCCTCAGCCTGTCCTGGCCACGGGCCCTGGAGCACGGGGCGGCAGTGTGGTGCGACATGCGGGCGCTCCTGGGAGCAGAGTGGGTGCGGTGCCCTGGCCGGAAGACGCGTCCTCCTGGACACACGGACGTGCTCTCGGACGACTCTAAAATTGTGGGCCTCCGGAGAAAAGGACAGACACAGTTGTTCGCCGAAGAAGGCTGGTTCGCGCCTTTGATTGCCGACGCCCTCTGCCTGCCGGCTCCTCCAGGGGGCTGTGCCCGAGCCGAGGTTCTCTGTTCCTCTGTTCGCGGGCCTGCTGCTTGGACTTCGCCCGCCCGGGACTCTCGCACGTCGGAAGGTCTGTCCTTTACTGAACGGACAAGTTCGCTCTGAAGTGGGGGAGACTATGGCTGCGCCTGCCATGCCAGGCTCAGGTGTCTAGCCTGTACCTTGGGGTCACATCGCCTCCCTTTGCTCTCCCAGCCGCCTGCGCTGGGCGTGAACAGCTCACCAGCGAGCTGGGCGTGTGCGAGGCCCGGCCCAGGCGCACGGGCTGGGTAAACGCTGGCCGCCCCGGAAGAAGCGGCGCCACCAGTGTTGCTGGAAGGGCCCGCACCGCCTCCTGCCTGCTCACGTGCTTCCCAGCAGGCGTGTCCTCCTCACCGTGTGGGAGAGGATGGGAAGCTAAATCTTCCAGCCCACACACCACTGCTAGCACTTGACTAATTAAGGACATCCTCAGACCAAAATAATCCTTCGTGCAATTCTGGTCCCAAAGCCTGCACGCTCACAACCTGAATCGCAAGCAGGTTGCTTGGCCTCAAGCCTGCCCTCTTGCACCGGCGGCCTTGGCAGCCTGCTCTGGCGCTGCACCCACCCCCGGGGGTCAGACCACGGACAGCCGCAGACCCGTTTGCACCCCTGGCCTCCCGACGGCCCCGCGGCTCCGAAGCAGCCCTGCTTCCTGAGGCCGGGTGTTTGCCCACATGTGCCCATCTGAGTCAGGGCTCGAGCGCTGTGCAGGGTGTTTCTGTCCTTGGGGGCCAGGCCAGCAGGAACCGGCTTCCAGAACTTGAGCGTGTGTATGTACATGTGTTTTCTTTAGGCATGCTCGCTGCACGCCCACCTGTCCAGTGGGCTCCGTGCCAACTACTCTGTCTTTCCCTTCTGTACAGACGGGCGGGTCTGAGGATTAGAATGAAACACGGGGAAGGGGGTCCCTAGATTTCATAAATTGATCCCCCTTTTTGGTTATGAACAAGGCAGATGCATTGCCCGGTTCTTATATCTCAGAGAAAATTGTGTTATTTTTTGATAGATATCTTTACTCTGCAACAGTAAGGTTTTGGATGCAACATTTAATGGCCCATTATGATTCCTGGAAAGTCGGATCTAAGGGGAGAGAGTGAGTCAGCTGTTGCTTCTGAGTTTGCTTCCCACCTGCTAACAACAAGGCCCTTCCAGGCCTTCGGCACGGCGTTCACTCTAAGCCCATGTCTTCTGGGTGTAAGCCTGTGCTCAGGTTGGATCGTATTATGAACTCACGGAAAGGACGCGAAGGAAGATGTACATTTTTCCTGCTTTTAGTTCTTCCACTTGGTTTTGGGGCAGTTTTGAGTGAAGGCAGCCTCTACTGTGTCCGCACGTTTAACGTTCCTGCCGGCGCGAGTTCTGTGTGAGGGGAACCTGCCACCGTGCGGTACACGCGTCTTTCCAGGTCACCTGACCTTCCCTGTGACTGGTATTTCACACCCGTGTTAATTATTCAGGCATTCCTCCGCTTTCATGCTTGAATTGTCAGCTTCCTCTTGTGACTATTGTTTTTCCTTCTTGAAGTTCTACCCTATGAACTTGGAGGATGGCCCTGCCATTGCATTGTGTCGTCCCCCCTGCACCTCAGCTTTAAGAAAACGCGTGGTTAAGAGCTGACAGGAGACGGGACTTGCTCCAATCCTGCCGCCCGCCGTGACTCGCGCACATGAGAACAGCTCTCCCGGGGCCAGCGCCCGCCCCGCACACGCGGGCAGCACTCTCACCAGGACCAGCGGGAGGATGTCTGTCAGTCCTGCTGTGGGGCTGGTGCGGCACAGTGGTCAGTAGGTGGTAGCAGCAGACATTAGCAAACACTGTCTGTTGTCATAGTTGGACACCTTCGCCAAGAGCTGCGCTGGCTCCCAGGCCAATGGTTTTGTACCTAGAGAATAACAGGGTGGAATGTGGAATGTATTTATACAGGTAATACTACCCCTCTCTCTCTCTCTCTCTCTCTCTCTCTCTCTCTCATTAGATGGCTAGTACTTTCACATTCAGACCGTCTTCAGGCTGCCTTGGTTTTCTCCAAAAGAAATATAAGAGACCCCAGCCTTCCAGGCCCTCACCCAGGCCTGAGGCTGGGAACCCAGCAGGAGAAACAGGTGCTGGGCATGGGAATTCTCAGGGCAGTTTTCACCAGAAGACAAAGATCAGAGTCTGAGTGTGTTTAGCATTTGAAGAGTGGGGGCATTTTTCTCTCTGAAAGTAGCCGGTCTCACCGGAGTGGCCAGTGTTGAAGAGTGTTAGTGTCTGAGTGACTCCCAGGAGCATGCAGCTTAAAATGCATCTTGGTTTTTGACTGTAAGGTTTTCCACAGAATGGCCCACGGGCCCGCTGGTGGACCCCAGGTGGAGGGCACCCCTGAGAGGGGCTTCAGGCAGAGTGTGGGCACACACCGCAGCCGAATGCACACCCCCTCTGCTCTATAGAATGACGCGTGCTTCCTGAACAAAATACCCGGGTCTGATCACAGACACTTACTGTGAATTCTAGGTTCCCTGAAAATATTTTTTTTCTAAAGGGAACAAGGTAACGTATTTGAAACAATCCTACTGGAACTTGAACTTGGACTGACAGTTCCATCCTCCAAAAACGAGAAGACTGAACACTCTTGAGGGATAAACGCAGTGAACGAAAATGACAACTGTTTACAGATTTTTGGCAACATTTGCAGCAGGACCCTGCTCCTTGTGCACAACAACTGTTTTAACAGCTGCTTTCCCCTCTTTTCTCCCCCCCCCACCCCCGC